TTTGTGACAACATATCCTAGAAATTGTCCCGCCTTTACTCCAAAGGAGCACTTGCTGTAATATCCCGACTTTTATCAGTATAATAATATTTCAGTTCCGATATTATTTTTCGGAAGTATTTATTTTCAGTTATTTCAGTCGAAATTACCGGAACCATTTTCGACGTACCGTTTACGTTCAAAATAATTTTGGTAATTTAGCATTATGTTTAATTGGATAATTAGACATAATTAAGTGATTAATTTAATTTAATCACGAGATTAGTAATTGTTCGGATTTTATTCCGAGTTCATGTTCATAACCGCGCATTGATCGAGTCCATGTTCAAGTGCCGTGCGAGTGTCTCGGTCCATAGTGCACGCGTGTACCGTGCGCCGCGTGTTTGTCCGGGAGAAGACCATGTGTGCGAGTGTTGCGGACCGAGTTCATGTGTATTGGCCGTGCGGAGTATCCGAGAGCTTGTGGAAGACCGTGCGCGCGTAGCCCGAGAGTATCCGTGCGTCCGCAAGTGCCGTGCATGCTAGCGGGCGGAGTCTCCTAGGCCGGGTGACGTTTTCCGTGCCTTGTCCTCTTGTGCGTAGGAGTTGGTGCGTTCAGCCCTCAATTGCCGTGCACTTTTGTCCCCTTTGTCCTATTCCGTGCGGAGTGTCCAATGCGTGCATGTGGTGACACTTTCTTGTCCTTTAGCCTCGGCACTATCTCGGGTATATGGGCCAAACACTAGTGCATGGTGACCATGTGTTTTCCTTCCTCTTTTTCTCCGCCCAAGCATTCGGTTTTTAAGGGTGACTTGGGAGTTTTACTCCATTTTTCCCTCATATGCCGAGAGTAAAGTGAGGTGTAGAGAGCTAGTGTGAGTTGTGCATTTTTGGTGAGTATTGTGCGTGAACATTACCGCCGAGAGCCATTACCGAGAGTGCCGCACCAAGCGCCGCAAGCCTTCGCACGGTGGTCCGAGAGCAACGCGCACACGCCGACGCATCGCACGCCACGCACGCAACGCACGCGGAAGGTCACCGCACGGGAGTTTGAGGACTAGTCCCGAAGGCTTAGCAAGAGGTAAGTTCCTGAGAATATCATGTTTATTTGAGATTAAATGTTAGAATTTACTTGCATGCGTGTTGTAGCCATCGCCGTGCATTCATGATACACGTTAAATAAATTTATCCGAACCATGTTATGTTTTTCATAGAATTCCCCGAACAATCTTGCATGATTAATTTTTATGTGCAATATCATGTTTAATTTAGCTTTAATGTTCGGATAATATGT